AAGAGTGTCGGAAAGGCGAGGAGGAGAAAATTCCGTCGGTTGCACACACGCGTGGAGCACGGTGGCGTTGGAGTTAGGGGAAAGGCGCTATAGAGGTCCCCTCTAGTGAGATTGGGCCCCGTTCGGGTCTCTCTCGCACACTCTCTCACGACGTCGAAGGTTTCCTTCGCACCGGTTCGTGCCGTGGCGGTCCGGCTCGGCTCGTGCACATACGCCATGGTCTCTCGTGTCGAATCGGGCCAGCTTCGTGGTGCCCAGCTGGATCCGTACACCCATTTGTCGGCCTCGAACTCGTCGTCGTCGTCGTCGAGGTACGCGCGGCCCATCCGAACGCCAGAGATCCGTTCTCGATCGGTCTGTCGTCTCGCCTGTGAAACGTGCAGCGTGTCTCGGTGATCTGATGTAACCCTTCTCTCTTTCTCTCTGTCTCCCCCCCTCGGCCTCTCTTTCTCGCTCTCGCACAGTCACTCCTTCTCTTAGCGTCGCCGAGCGGTCCCAACGTCTGGATCCGTGGAGCGCACTTGCTCGTCGTCGTCGTCGTCGTCGATGCCGCTGGCTGTGTTCTCTCGCGCGCCGATTCCACCGATCGTTCCATCCACGATTCCACCGACGATTCCACCGGCGATTCTGCTAACGACCACACCGACCACTCCACGGCCGATCCCTGGCTGCTAATTAAACCTGGTGAGCTCGCTGGACACCGCCGGAACCCGATTCGTTCGCGGTCTCGAACGTCGATCCACGATCCACGATCCACAGACTTTCCACGCGATCGTGATCGCTCTGCTGCGTGTGGGTTTTTCTCTGCCAAAGGACTTGGAAACGGACTTGGCACCGGGTCGACGAGCACACCTCTGGGCCCATCGACGATCTCACGACCGGATTTACGACCCCTTGACGATTCGCTGGAGTTTCGGACAAAAGTCACGTCGGTGGAACGTTCGGTCGCGAGTTTCGGTCGTCGACGAAGGATACCGTGTGGTTCGGTGCTCGACTAGTTCTCGCGTAGTGCTGGTTCTTCGCCAACGAGATCCGTGATCCTGTCGATGTCGGGTACACCGTGTTCGTGGTACGTGCGTGTGCACG